AAATATGTTATTAATTTGCAACGATCTACCCAATGCTCAATTTGTTCGAAATCACCAAGTCAAACCTTGGTAATGATACCTACAATCATCAGATATGATTTATATGAATTATTCTGAAAATTTAGTAGGACAATTTCGCTTTATTCAGTCCCAAGGAAACAGAACGCACTAAGTCTGTAGGGTTAGCAAAATGTCACTTAACCTCAGCCAAATCACTGGCAGTCAGGTCACTGAATATTGGGCAGTTTGCCGATCCTTGTCAAGGTCAACAAGCGCGCATTGGTAAATTTCACGCTATGGACTGGGCCATGCGCCAGTGTTCGTACTCCGTTTCCTGTACCGCGAAGTGTCACTTCAACGCAAACTAGGACGTTACAACATTCGCGTCCAAGTTGAGTAGACTTCAAGTCACCGAAACAGATCACCAACGTCGGTGATCTAAGTTCATCTTCAAAAATTAAACATTTTAAGGGGCTTTAAATGAAATAATCTCAGATGCTTGTTTGTATCAGATCATAAAACACCATCAAGAACAGCATTTTGACGATTTCACTAAAGTAGAAATGATGTCGCAGAAGATAAAATGGCGGATATCTCACTGAAGGTATTTTGGTAAAGCCTCAGTGTGAAGTGGTATTTTAAGCTCTTCATTGATTTGTGTTCACGATTCTCTTCGATCCATTAAACCTACGGTTGTAGTTCTTACACACACGATCAAAACACTGGAAATAGAAGACAAAAATAATGAGCACTACACTTGACTGTCATCCGAAAGTTTAAAGAGTACTGTAGTGGCGTTGAAGTTACCGAATTCGCTGCGCGTTCGTATGTCGGGATCGCCAGTTATGTTGCGGCGTAAATCTGATTCCGTCTATACTCGTATATAATAATTGACTTAATCCGCGTTGGTGAACAACGAAGTTAAATACGTCAAATACGAGAATGGAATTAGAATACATATATTTTCTACATTCATTGATCTGGCCATGGGATCAGAGCGATGAAGCGATAGAAGCAAAACGACGTGCGCTTTGGAGATGGCTGGGAAGCCAACTCGTTATAAGCAAGCATTAATCAACATTTATAGTCAGACTAAAATGAATGACAGACATGTGATAGGTAGGATAAGAAGGGTGCATACACATACGCTCATATAAAAAAATAGTCAAGGTCAATAAGCGAATAATTAACATGATCAAAATATGACTCATAACGTTATAGGTGGATCGGCTTGTCCAGAAACTAGAATAAGCTATGTAGGTGTAATATAGTACACGACGTTACACTACTCCCCACAGTACCGAGACACAAGTAAGAAGAGTTTTTACATGTCAACAGTATCGACACATGAAGTTTTATTTGACTATTTGTTTCCGAAACAATTTACGTCATCCACTGAACGCTATACCTTTAGACGAATTTAATGGAAAAACAAGTTTGGGAAGTGCAGGTTACTTTGAAAGAATGCATTTACTATCACGACTTAGTTTTGTACTACTCAGAACGAACTTTGACTTCATATGAACCACTGAGGTGACACATTAAATTGAGTGATTTGCGGAGATACTTATATATTTTGAAGGTAATTTTTATCTTTAACTGAAGAGATTTTTAAACAATTCAGTTTCTTTACTGAGTTTACGCATGCGATTTAGGTCTATGTAAATCATGATATGAAGCAAATAGGAAATTCATCACAATAGGTGTTACTCTATTTTGGAGAAAGTTACATGGAATAATTTGCATATTGTTGAATGAAAAGAACATTGAAGGGAGGTGACTTTATCCAGTGACTTCGAATCCCGCAAAAAAATCAAGTAGGTTGTTTTTAAAAAAAAACATAAACATCACAATCGTGAACTGTGAATCAAAACATAATCCAGACCAACAGTGCCGGATTCGAAGATGTGAACATTTAAATTCTAAAGACGTTGGAAACTTTTGTTGTAAAAAGATATCTTGACCTACACGATCTTATGAGACAAGATAAAGCAAAGTTGATAAGTAAAAAGTGGTGTCTCTGGTTCATTGGTAGGAAAACATTAATAATTAAATTACATGCCTACCCACCGATCGAAGTATTTCGATGGTTGTTGACCACTTATCGTTTTTTTTCTAAACGTGGTCTTAGGAACTGGAAGCGTTCATCCTGGCATCCAATTGACGCTTTATTTTCAACATCATTCGGGATTTCCTTCTGAGTCTCTACCATTCGGAAAATTTCTTACCTATAATATATGACTAAATACATCTCTTTTTCTAGAAGTATCTGGGAATCGACTTGTATGTCTGAGAATACAGTACTGCGAAACCTTTCGTTTTGACCACCTTACGATTCATTTTAATTGGCTGAAAATCTATTCTGTCAATAAACCAACCAACATAAACCCCGAGATTGTTTCCGTTGTAACTTTAAATTGTTTGAAAACATGTAAAAATTTACATTCAAAATAAATAACGATTCGCAATTCCAGATCAGGTGTCGCCGTTCGATATTCTTGGTTCGCAATGAGACAGACAATGGGGGTTTTAATTTTAGTTACTGCTGATTTGTGTTTTCGTTTTTGATATCGTGCTAATCTGGTATCAGTTAGATAGGTACGAAAAGTAAATCTGCCAAACATAATGTAAAAACGTGCACAAACGTGTCGGTCCAAGTTGCCGCACTACATCAGAGATGTAAGGTGCCCGAGCAGGTTAAGTAGTAACAAAATTAATGGTGGCAGGAAAGATAAGGGATAGATACGATTCCATAAAAACAAATTCGTAGGACTAAATATTTAAGATAACTGGTAAACTTAGGATCCAAGGTAAGTCGAAGTGTGAATGCATATGCGCCACAGCGATTAATTCTGAGCCATATCAACCAAAGTCTAAACATTGGTTGCGATAATCATGCCGACCTCAATCATGTAGTCTGCACCTAAAAAACTACTGTCCGACGGCCAACAGCTACTTTGATGATACTACGTCCTGGTTTGGGCGTCCCTAACTTTTTTCCAACCTAAACCAGTCAGTCATTCCGGTGGGAAGCGGTTGAACATGAATAATGCATATCCCAAACACCTCAGTCGATGATGGGGCATGAACGAGTTTACTGGCATGAAATAAAATGACCATCAAGTCGCTGAAACTACTGGCTTCAACTATCGAGTGAACATAGATGGACCCAACAGGTATACTCGTGATAAATTGGTAGTAAATTATTTAGGAAGGCCCTTTTCGATAAACTCTGGAACGCTGCTGCCTGTGAAGACACTGATATATATGCTAGATTCAGTATCGTGATGACATTGTGTTATCTTACACGTGTAGTACATGATCCATCATTTTATATTTGGAAAGCATTTAAGAGAGTTACTTGTGTAAGACAATATGACAGGACTTGTCGTAGGAACTGTGGTATAGTTCAATCATTTGTACGAACATCACGCCCCTGATTAAATCTCACTTTGTAGTTTTAGTTCGACCCAAAGTTGGCATATCTTAGCTTTGTCAAAGACATAGTATCACGTCATTAGAAATAACCAATGTTTGTGACCTATTAGGTTAATTTTCATTTTATTTAGAAATTGTTCTCGAACCAAAAAGTGTGTTGGTGAAGATACGGAATTTAAACCGACCAAGATATTCTCATGTTCTAGAATGAATAAAATAGCTGTTACTCGAGCCTTCATTTAAAAACGCGTTATGATCTTCATCTATGAACACATATCATTCACCTCAAAGTAGACTGCTACGTATGATCGACATTCGACCTTAGGCTGTATTCCTGCTTATGACTGGACTCCAACGTCCAGTTTATTGCAATGATACATATTAATTACGAACCCAACGTTATTCCTGGAATAAAGCACCATAATATAAATAAATGGAAATAAGTCAGTGTACATTTTTCCTGAAAAGTCATATGGTGCTTTTTTATTTAATTCTTTACATATATCCTCATTCAAATTAAACATCCAAACGATTTCATCATGTATAAGTTGAATATTTCCACTTTTAGTTTGTTTTTATTCAAAGTGATTTTCAGAAAAGTTAGTTGTCGCTGTGGCGTTACATAGTTAAGTGGGACCGTTTGACGTTAGAAACCCGTGGTGTTGGTGGACACTTGCGAACTGATGTCTAATATACTTTAATGAATTGGTGAGGATTTTATGTATAATAACCTTCGGATTTTAGAAGCTGTCAGCCTAGGTTAAACATTTTAGAACAGTTAAAACCTTCGTATAGAATGCAGAATAGAAATACTTAATACTCACTATAATGAAAACACAAATAACCAGCATAGCAAAAGAGAAATCTCTGGCGCCTCACTAAATAATGACAAATACTTTCCTGATTCATGTGACCGTAAAAGTGAGACCACGAAAACATTGGATTATAACATGAAAACCAAATTCCAAGGTTCCGAGTAATAGGAAATCACGATGAAGACGCAGCTAAATGTTGGTTACGTTGCAGTGAGCCAGTTAGGTTTATTACGAGCTAGTGGGTATTTGAAGTATCTACCAAGCGACTATACGGGACTTTGTGACGAAAGCCGCAGGTGTACGGTTTTTACACACAATTGCAATTAAATATAAAGCGTTAAAAGGCTGAAGTGTATAACTTAACAACTGACTACAATGGAACTACACAGTATAACCAGATAACATTGTGATAGTATTATTAACTGCTTTTAAAAACCCACTTAAGAAGCAACTCACTACTCCTTCGAAATAACCATTTGTCGTTTATAGAATCTAGAGTGTCGTGGGTTTTTTAACTTCGGGTTTTGATTTCATGAAATAAACTTTTGGCAGACTAGAGGTTACGACTAATGATAGCTGTTTCAATAAAGGTGTCATTCGACACTGCTGGATTTCAGACAAACAGTACCCGGGATTACAACTTATGAAGATGAACAGGATATTTTGATAAACTAGTGTTGGGGATGAAAAAACTTGGTACAAGATATAGAAAATAACTTCCAGCAAAAGGTTTATTCGACATTCACTTTAGGATGACTTTACATTGGAATTCGGGCCTCTTCTTCTTCCACCAGGTTGTTGTACAACTGCTACAAATCGCTTATTGTACTGCATCCTACGTTTAGCTCTGCCTCGTGGAGACTTCTTTTTTTCTTGTTTCTCGACCTTTGGGGTTTGCCCACGAACTTTACCAGCACGCGCAAGAGATCCATGGACCTTACCTAAGGAAATGTAAAATGACGAAAAATGCGTACCTCCTAATGCCGGAACAACGACATCGATAGATGTGTCACGGGACAGAGATGCCAAAGATTGAGAATCACTAATTAATGATCCACAGTTGTATAACTGCAAACTATCCAGTGGCAAATTGTCTTTGTTGGCTAGTAGAATCTTTAGATCTGCAGCAGTCGGGCAGTCATTTGTGTCTATCACACGGGTATCAAACGACTTAACGAACACCTTCATGTCTCTCAAACAACCTAGTCACGCCAAATTTGTAAACCCGCAACTACCTCACTGTACATTGGACCAATGTTTCTCCTCACATTTCATTTGTTATGATGTCATATGTCATGAACGAATTTTGGTAAGGTCTGGGAGTGATTGTAAACGAAACTTGTTATTAGTTTGATAAATTTGGCAATTAAAAGCAGTCTCATAGCATGTTTATCAAATTAACAATACCCGATTAATAAGGTAGACAAAACCTAATATTTTGTAAACAACCTCGATTCTTCAACAATTTTCATCGCGATAACTTCTTAACGCTATATTATACCCTTTCAGGCGGAACAAACGGGTTTTTACAACAGCAATTTGACTGTTGAAGCCAGTGATTATTGTGAACCGCGATAGATATTTTGTTACTCGGAAGTGACCGCGAAGTATTAAGAAGATTTACATATTAGAGTTGAGCGTGTTCACTGAAAATTCCGGAATGGAGTGACTGTGGACTCCGAAAGTATAGAATGAGGATGATCACATACAATAAGTCATGACATCGTTTGCTTAGAGTTCGGTTATCCGTAGGTGGTTCTCCCTTGGTTTACTGTGACAACTTGGCAATAAAACTATTTTATTACTATGGTTATAACTATGTAAACTATTCGACTTAATCGATCGTTTTTTGTTGTAACACTCTGTGTCACCTATGAGTGTAATCGGGCGATGCACACCTGAACTAAGGATAGGGAGTGAAGTAGTCGAACGCATTGACAACTTCACTTATCTTGGAAGTCTGATCAGCCCTAATGGGTTGGTGTCTGACGAAATCTCAGCAAGGATTTGAAAAGCTCGTTTGGCTTTTGCCAACTTACGTCACCTATGGCGAAGACGAAATATCCGTCTATCAATTAAAGGACGAGTATACTGTGCAGCAGTTCGCTCTGTTCTACTTTACGGTTGTGAAACATGGCCATTAAGAGTAGAATATACTCGTAAGTTAATAGTATTTGACCACAGATGCCTTAGAAATATTGCACGCATCTGCTGGGATCACCGGGTAAGTAATAGTGAGGTGAGGTTAGACGCAGGGTATTAGGGAACGATGGTAAATCAGTTGATGAGGTGATGAATCTTCATCGACTGAGATGGTTGGGCCATGTGTTACGTATGCCTGAACACCGATTACCACGACGCGCTATGATGACTAGTGTAGGGGATTGTTGGACGAGAGTTAGGGGCGGCCAAACCAAAACATGGCATCAGTGTTTGAAGTCACTAACTTCTAGTCTGAGCCATGTTGGCAGATGCAGACTACCTGGTTGGGGTCCGCGTGACTATCGTAACCAATGGTTGAAGACTCTAGGTGACATGGCTCAGAATCGATCACAATGGCGTAGGTGTATACACTCTTTATCTTCCTTTAAACCTTGAGACTAAAATTGCTTCATAACTTTTTTCCTTCCTATACTATATCCTTATATACAACCTATAATTTATATACTACTACCACCACTAAATTAATTACTTCTATGAACCCGGTGGTCATCTTGTTGTGCTAACGAGGTATGGCAACTTGGACCGATGCATAAATGTGCCTGGTCCTACGTTGTAGCTGACTGACTGAGGTTGATTTTATCTACTAGCAATACGCCTAACTGGATGTAATACTGAGAGCCATATGAATTATCGTCCGTCCAAAAAATTGTTTCAGTGCCCATACTCATCAAATATAAGTACTCTTCAGTAGTTGATCATTTTGCTTTTCGAATATTGTACGGTTCGGGCAGATCAACTTGTTGACATTGTTGGAGCAGTATGAACTAAAAATATGATTTTTGTTCTTTCTTGTATTTTGTCTATGAATACCAAGTTTCTCAGAAATTTATGTTACCCTGGCTACTCGTAGCCAGTTGTATAGAGTGATCTTATCCAAGATGGAATTGCCCATTTGCTTGAAACCAACTTCTTGAAAGGCGAATGTGGTTCAATATTACAAGTCATATAGAACGGATTTTACGCAAACTCTTTGTTTCTTTATGGAGTTATATTGAGTCGAATTTTCGATCCAATGCTTTCGTTGATTCCTGGAAGCCTTCAAGTGACAGAAGGTCTCATATTCTAAAGATGTAACTGTACTATCTGATGATCCTCACTTTTGAAGCATATATGATCGTGCTGTAGTATCATGAGAGTATTTAATTATTATGCTGAACAAAATGGTCACCGCTATTATCGGAAGGCACTGAGGATGCTTACAGGAAAATATTTTTGGTGGTTTCTTGCGTCTAACTCATACACGTTTCTTTCTCACTATGGTCACACAACCATAAACCCCATATATTGACGTAAACCTAGTCTTTTAAAGGTAGGTATTATTGAAATTGGATCAAGAGATAAAGTGCTAGACTCCCAAGTTGCCATAATTCGTTGACCTCATAAACATGGTGTGGTGAAGATGGTTTGTGGAAACTGCTACATTCATTGTTCAGGGACAGATTTTTACCTACACATACCAGCTTTATATTGTTGCTACATATGACGTGTACTAGTTTGATCAACTGCTGGATCAGTTGGAGATATAAATTCAGGTTGAGGTAGATCTCGTGGCTTATGATCAGATTGATTAGAGACAAACGCATATATCTTCGCTGAGAACAAAAGAGCTTAAACTATACTGTGAATCAAAAGTGGACTATTCCTCACCAAAAAACCACCAAGTAGGAAGCAGTAGTTTCGTCGTAGTTTCACACTTTGCAGTAATTGAGCGCGCACACGGAGTATAATTCAGAAACAATATGATTTATGACGGACTTTTAACAACTTTGCGTCTGATGGTGTGGTGTGCGCTACTAACGTTGATAGATATAAGTAGTATGTTTAATCAATCGAAAGTGAAATACCTAGATGCAGAAGGTCACGACGATTGAGGAGAAGAGAACGAGAACAGAGGATGATTAAGGTGGAAACGGGGGAACAAAGAGGTTTCAGAAGATTGACTGATATTTTACTAATGGAGTTTTTACTGTATGGTTCTCAAATTTTGTAAAGATGTTCTGTAATTTTGTGTTAAAGTATATTTGATTATCCCCACTTGTGTTCTTGTTCGCCACAATGGTAGAAAATGTTTGATACAGAACAGTCCTCGCCCAGCGTCTATAGTGGGTATCCGCCAGAACTAATTATTCTTATACGCCAGACCTTGGCACTGGAATTTTGAGAAATATGACCTCTGAAATTAGTCTTTGATTAACACAGTAAGTTCAAGATATGCTCATCTCAAGGTGCCTTAGCGTAAAAAGATCGAATTGAAAGTGTTTGTCAGTGGTGGTTGCTGTGGAGCTAAGTAGTTTTTGTGTTTTCCATAAATTAATTTCTTTTGAAAATAATCTGCATCACGCACTGAGTTTTGGTAGAGAATCACAGAAGCTAGAGAAAATTAAGCACGTACCGTATCCGATTATTTTGAAAGAAATCAGCATTGTTTTCCTCAAAGCATTAAAAATTTCAATATACTTGATTAGAACAACATATATAAACGAACAACAAGAAAGGAACGAGAGTATCACGGATTTCTAATGAGCACAGGGACTTGGATTGCCACCTTGAATCTCTCCACGTCTCGTCATGTGTAGGGGACGAGATCAGACCCCGTAAAGGAATTTGGAAGAGATATGATAAATCACTGTTAATTATTTATTTTTATCTACCAAATGACCGTCATCAGTCAGTTGTGATAGAACGAGGATGCACATTGTTTTGATCATATCTTTTCTCAACTGTGATGAAGGGTTTTCACTAACTCGTTGGCTCAGATATGTGGTTGTGTGCTTAATAGAGCTTTCCACACAGGAGCAGTTGTATTCGCTGGTACATATGAATGCACTGAATCCAGGTAGTTTGTCCGTTGATTGAGAAGTAACCACAGCTTAATTGGAGAACGATAGAGGTTAGCTGCATTAGACGTCTCGTCCATCACTTTGGCTAGTCATTCTTGTAGTACATCACTTATAATACCTCTTTCGACCTGTAGCTTCGGGAAGAACGATTTCCTAATGACCATCCAAGTCATTAGTTTCCTACTGATTTATTTCGGGTGTTTCTTCAGAAAACATTGTGGCTAATCCAGTCCTATCAACATACTTTTGAATGACCTCTAGATATTTTTCACGGTTTCGTCTAAGCTTATCTTCCTTTATCCACTTGCAAGACATCTGAGTTTTCTTGTGATCAGTCTTCACGAAGCTCGAGAAATATATGTACAGGCTCGCCGACGAACTTTCCTGCACACACTACTACTCATAGAACTCATTTCTCTTCACTTTCATAGAAAATTAAATAAGCGAATTACCATTGAATTTTGATACATTCATCATAACGAACTTTTATTATTTTCGCTTACTTTCGTACCCTGAAATTCAGGTTACATTCTTGACATTACGCCTGAAACTTTATTTCTTGCCTCCATTTGGGAGTGATGAGACTGGTCTTTAACAGGTTGGATCTTTTCTACTTCAGCCTTGAACGTTGGAATGAAAACAGCCTATTTTAGTTCTCTCGGCAGTCGGTGCGACTCTAGTGAGTAGCTAAACAGACCATGCACCTGTGTGTTGGCGGGTTACGCACACTGTTTTAAGATTTGTAAGTTGTACGTTGTCACACCTAAGTGACTTTTCAGGGCATGGTTGTTTCACTTTTCCAATAGTAATGTGGAAGTTAGTTTAATATCTCCCAGACCCTCGACCGGTATTAGAGTCGAATGGTGTTCCGTGTTCGTAGGCTCCTGACTTGACTGGTTTACGAACTCGATATTATGAAGCCTTGCCATTCTCTTACGTAGCTATTCCGGCACCTGATTGTTCGTTTCATCACCTAATGTTCCTCCGCAGCATTATCTCTCTCCTTGTTCTTAAGCATATCGTTATTAAACGTATATTGAACAGTTCTGTACGAACTGGATGCTGTTGGTTTTTGCCTGTATAGCGTGTCATTAGCGGAATCGTCTTCTATGTGTACTGTATCGC